CAGGGGACGTGTGTTGGGAAGATATGACTGAGCTGTCAGACAATGCCAGGTCAGGAAACTGCTGTAGTGACTTTGAGTTGTTGCCCCCTGGCTCGTTTGTAGCCGCAGTGTAAGCTGTTGCCTTTCCAGCAGAGGGCGAGCCAAGACTGATTATGATTTAGAGCTCACTTGGCTGCCTGACAAATAACGCGAAGTTAAAGCTTGGAAGAATTTTGTGCTTGAAAGGAAGGCTTAATATGATAACGTGTTTAACAGACTGAGTGGGACTTAGTGATGAACCAACCCATAGCCCTTTTATATAGCTGGTTATTGAATAGTTGTAGGAGTGTTGAAACATGAGGCATGTCATTTATACCTGGGCTCTAGCAGAGAGCCTCTATCTTAGGCTTGAGTGTATAGATTTGAGTGTACAGGGCAAATACCTTTAATTGGGTTGTGTGGGTAATTGTCTTCTAGTGCACAAAGGGAGCAGATTGCTCAATGAGTGAATAACACTGCCCCAAGATCCTGGTCTATGAGGTGCATCACTGAAATGGGCCAGTGTTCGTTCTGGGGCACTAGTTCAGCATAGGAATAGGTTTGATTTTTATTTCAGGTAGTTGTAGTTGATGTCTGTCTCGCTGTGATCTTGGAATTCCGTGATTAAATGAAGCAGATTCTTGTATTTCTACTACTTGCTTGAGGCAACAAAAACCTCAAAATATGAGGACAAATCTGCAAATAATTTTATAAACAATTTTGTATTTTATGTAGCACTAACAAAAGTTTCAATGCTTGATCCATTATCTCTAAAGTCATAGTTTTAATACTTAATGCAAGCATTCAAAATTGGATTTTATCAATAATAATTCCAGGTTGCTAGAAGGCAATGAGCTTGGCTTAATCTCTGTTGTGTATTTCCATGTTGACACCTTATTAATAAGGAGTGAACACTGCAGCTAAAACAAAAACTCCGTAACTATAAGGTAATGAACAGGAAGCTCCTACGGTTGTGATCAACAGCATCGAAGAAGAAAGCTTTAACTGGTGTCCTTCCTGTTACGTTGTCTAAGTGACAAAATCACTGGTTGTGGTCTGAAGCATCAGGATCTTGATGAAGTTATTTGGATTTAACATTAAGATAAAGATAGCGAATCAAGGGACTAAGATAAATGGTTCTTGTTTGTGTTGAGCATCTTTTTCAGGTCATAGTGTGTGTGAGCCAGTACCAGGGCCTGGTTTCCCAGCTGTAATACTAATTCCTGTTGTTGCTACTCTGTAAGCTGCACACTGCATAAAACCAGTGGTAACTTGCTGGTGACTTTCACGTCTTACCGACTTTCAAAATAGTACTGGAGTGAAGCAGTGTGAGTTTTTCTTACATCGAGTTTATGAAGGAAAGTTAACTTTCCCATCAGGCTTTTTCAATGGATTACACTATGAAAAATGTTAAAATTTCCACATCTCATGTTGGTTTTGCAGGGCAAGTTAAGGAAAGAGCTCAAGTCAAAGAGGTTTGTTCCATTTATAAATAAGAAAGCTGGGGTCATAACAAACAAGAAATCTTACCGCATTTATTGACATTAATTGCCTTTTGATTCTACATCTAGTATTTTTTCTTATTGGTGTATGAATGTTCTGATTTACTTGAATACCTGAAGTCATGTCTAGTTATAAAACTGATTTC